AGACCCAGGGAAGCTACAGTCAACTGAAGTGATTTTGTATTCTTGCTGAGCGTCCTTTCCATGCCATGGATATGTAAGGGAAAGAAATCAAATCTGTGATTCCGGAGGTAAACGGAGCTCACAGTGAGGAACCTCTTCTACCAATTGGGGATGGCACATTTTGCTTAAGAGCTACTTAGAGCAATGAGAGTTTAAGTGACTTGCTAAGAGTCATAGAGTCCAAATGCGTTAGATGTGCACTTTGAACGCTGGTCCTTCTGGCTCCGAGGCTAGCTCAGCATCTACCATGAAATATTGCCCCTCTGTGGCAAAGTAAGCTTGCTTTTATAAACTGTTAATTGGATGAATGTCTCCTTTCATTCCAATTCCTAAACAGAAGCAGTAGACCAATCTGAATGAGGTCTGACCTGGTTCTATATTTTCTAGATGAGTAGAAAAATATTTTTCTTCTCATTTTCCTTTTTCTATGGTCTAACATACCATGACTGTTACCTTTCTATGCTCCACTCAGGCTGGAAGTATAAAGAATACTCCCACCTCTAGTCCCATTCTGACTGGCACAGAAGCTTTGATCTGCTCCATTTCTAACCTGAACTGGACATGCTCTTCCCTGGGCAAGCTGATGGCCCAAGAGATCTGTCAGCCTCAGCCACCCTGGTAGCTGTGATCACAGGCATGTGCCTCCATGCCTGTGTTTCTGTTACTCTTCAGTACTATCTCTGATCACGAGATTTTGTGCGCTTTCACTCCTGTTGGAGTTAGAAAACACTGAAATACATTGGATATGCCAAGGGACATTATCACACATTTGATACTGATGTCATTTTATGGATCCTTATGATACCTCAGTATTTCACTGATTCAAAGTTTCACCAGTATAGCTCCTTCCTAGACAATGCAATTGAAAGTTCCTCTACAACCTGGTAAATGTACCCTGAAGGATAGCTGTAATGCCATCTCTAAAAATTAACCACCTTACAGACACCATGCTAGTGTGCTGGCCTGGACTTAACAAAGTTAGACATCAGACAACAGATGGGTAGTCCATACTCAAAGAATTTATAGTTTTGTAAGACCCACTCCAGCATGTACTCTGCTGACATTGCTTTGTTGAAGCCAGGGTCATCTTTAGTCCACAGGAAGGTGTACAGTCCATCAGATTGTGAGTTCCTTGAGAGCAGGGACTATCTTTTGCTTCTTTTTGTATCTCCAGGGTTCAGCACAGTGCCTACTAACCCAGTAGGGGCTTAATAAATTTTTACTAATTGATTGGTTCTCACCACAGATGCCAAAAAAATAGTTCTGAAGCAGCTAGACGGTTCAGCAGATAGAGAACTGGGATTGGAATCAGGAAGATCTGAGTTCAAATTCTGCTTCAGAAACTTATTACCTCTGTGATTTTAGGCAAGTCATTTGATTTCTCTCAGCCTCAGTTTCCACACCTGTAAAGTGAAGAGAGGTTGGATTTGATGACCTCTAAAGCCAGGGTTCTTAATCTGGGCTTTAGGGATAGATTTCAAGGAGTCTATAAACCTGGATGGAGAAAAAAACCCTCATTACATCTGTACTGTCAATAACCTGTAGTTTCTTTTGTTGTCCTATGTATTTTATTTTATGCATTTAAAAACATTTTAAAAATCAAAAAACCAAAAGAAAAAAAAAGCACATTCTTCTGAGAAGAGGTTCCATAGGCTTCACCAAAGGGGGGAAGGGGGTCCATGAAACAAGAAAAGTAAAGGACTGCAGTTCTCAGTTCTCTTCCAGCTTTTACTCTATGATTCTAGGATCCTATGATATATGCACACATGATATATGTAAACGTCTGCCTCTTCACCAGTCTTCCAGGGTATGAATCTGATAAGCTGAAACAGATTTTAGTTGCCTGGATCCTAGGGAATTCATTAAAGAGAATGCAATCACTATTGACCAGGTTTTTGCCTGGGTCTATTATTTGGGGGGCTGGGAACTCCCTGGTTACTCATTCTATTCTCTGTCGGAAAGATGCAGTAACTCTGAACATAAATATGATATAATCACCTTTACCCTCTAGACATGTGGTAAATGTTTTCCTTGTCTCGTAGCTCTCTGTGGGTACATCGCTGTTGGTAATACCAATCTTAGATGACAAACTCTTCCATGTCCTGATTATGGAAAATTCTCTTTGTCCACTCCCTGCCATGATGGGACATGTACATGGGACTCAGTACAAGCCAGACGATGATTAGCAGTCACTGTGACCTCTCTTGGATGAAGGCTTCATAATGGTTCAGCTGGCGATGTGGGTAGCTACTGTGACGTGCGGCCCCATCTTTCAGCCCTCAGTATGAATTGCTGAGTATAAATGCTAACTGCATGCGCGTGGCTGAACACTTGGGAGAAGTTTCTATTTACACAACTTATTTTACTAATGCATGAGAAACACTGGCAATATATGGAGATGTGACTGTCAGGGATTCTAGATATGTGTGCACTCAACCTCAGACCAGCTCCATCAATCAAAAGAAGCCGAGGAGACACTGAAATGTGATGACTTCAGGCCAGGTCTTTGCATCTAGCTGATCATGAGTCTGATTAGTTTTGAGTGTTGAGGTACAATCTGCGATGCTCTTATGTAATTTCTATTGCTAATATAAATAATTAGGCATCAAGGAGAGGACTCTGAAAGCAAGTCCAAGATGCTCAGATGTATTCTTTCCATGACAATGACACTCTCTGTGGTCTTGAGCTTTCTCTTAACCTTCAGCTTTCTCCTCATTGTCCACCTTCAGACTTCCTCTTCCAACTCTAAATTTACAGTATTAATAATTCTCTACATGGCAATAATGCCTAAAATTAGTGAACAGATGTCAGTCCTGAGCTCTGCTCTGCATTACTTCCAAAAATAAAACATTTTGGTATTTTCTTATTAGCTGGCCTACTAGGAACTCTCAAGATAAGGCCAAATGGTGCCATTTCCTTGACTGGTTTTCATCCTGTTTGAATGAAAAAAAAAATTTCCATTCCCCTTTCCTCATCACTTTCCCTTTTTTTGCTTTCTTTCTAAAAATTCTATCCCTATTTACAGAAAACTCACAGATATCTAGGGACATTATTACTGTGCCAGATTAAAAATTACTGAAAATGTCACACACTCCAAAGCTATATTTAGGCCACATTGAGACTTGACGTATATGAGTAATGCAACCTTTCATAGTTTGGATAAATTTAATTCTCCACACTACAATTTCCTCCAACATTCCAAGATGTGAAGGCACTAAGGGTAACAGAATGCAATGATTAATCTGTTCATAAATTTGTTTCTCTCAGTGAGGTTCTAAGCACTTCCTTAAAAACAAATTCGAAGTAGAATACAAATGCTTTCAAGGTAGAGGAGGAAGGAAATTACTTATCTAATAGTTTAGGTGATGGATGAAAACATGCTGACAGGACATGGGAGCCTGTGCAGGGATCCAATCTAGGAACTACAGCTATTTCATTGGCCTTCATTTATGTCTTTGAGTTCAACTTTCAGACTAATGTGATTTCAAATATTAACTAGAGCTCACTTCACACAACTCATGTTTCTGAAATCTCATCTGTAAATTTAATTTTGTTATTACTAAGACCTTAAAATTGTAGAGCCATTAATGTTTCCAAAGAGTTTTCACAGCTATTTTCTCTTTTGTTCTTGTAATGTCTCTGGGAGAATGGTTGAACAAGTCACAGGATGAGAGATTTGGAGTTGGGAGGGAATGTAAAAATGATCTAGCTGAGCCCCCTCATTTTATAGATGAAGCAACAGAGAGGTTAAGTGACTTTCTCTGAGGTCACACAGGTAGTAAGTGGCAAAGCCAAGATTTGAACCAAGCATGTTTAACTATAGATCTAATCATACCATGATGCTGGGCAGTATGAGAGATTTGCACAAATCATTATGATACATGAGAAAATGTCACAAGTACAAATAAGAGGTTCAAAGAATGAATCATGGGGAACTGGGAGAAGGAAAAAAATCTTTTAGCTTGACAATGGTGAGAAGGACTAGTAAAGAACAAAAGAATATCTTCTCAAGAGAAAGCTGTGAATAAAGTTGGAGCAGCTGGGGGGAGGGGCAGGATGAACTCTCCTAAAACCTTCAGAGCAGTCCTATTACAAGGATTTGCTTGAATTTATAATTATGTTAATTTACATATAATATAAATTCTATAAATATATAAATATCAAATAATATAAAATGCACAGTTTATATTATATTTTAATTTTATAATATATTTACACATTATATGAATTGTAGAGTTTATTATTATACATAAATTTATAACTTATGTAAATAAGACATTCTCATCTATGGCACCCAGATCTGTGTAAATACTATGGGAGGTGGAGTCATGAAACACCTGGTTCAAATCCTGACTCTTACTAGCCCTAAAATAGGGGAAATAATACTTGTACCAACCTACCTTATAGGGCTGTTGCATAAAAAATATTTGGAAGCCAAAAATCATCATATATAAAGGTGAGCTATCATTAGAAAGCAAAAAGCTGATGAGGTGGAACCTAAAGCTTCTTCTTTTTTTCCATGTAACACCTCTGAATTCATCACAGCTATACTTCCTTATATTTCCTAACATGGTTAGAGCTTCATTTGGAAGAAAGTTTTAAAATATAAGGAAAGTAGAAAATTATAAAAATAGTTGTCCTCTACTGAATGAGGCTCTTTTTTTTCTTTTAATGATTAAACAAGATACTAGAATTTTAGATCTAGTGGGGAATCTCTGATGTAGAAGCTAGAATCCAGAGATAGCTGAAAGAAGTCCATGCCTTTAACTTCCCACACCAATGACATCCTGGAGTCCAGACAGGATAGGGTACTGAACTTTTCTCTGTGGTGCAAACACTAGAGATATGTTAAAATTAGAGCCAGAGATGTCAGGAACAAAACAAAAAAGGAGAGACCCCCATCAATCCCTTAGAACTCAGGAGCTATTGAAAACTCAAAGTATGCCCTGGCCCCTACTTACCTATGTGCGTCTGAGCCATGACATCGGCCAGCCTGTGTGCGGCCCCACTGCCGCCACTTTGCGTGGAAGAGGAGGACGTGGTAGAGGTTGTCGAGCCATGGATTGCTTGGCTGATCCAGTGTTCCATGTTGATGCTGCCCTGGCTGGAGGTGGGGGTTCCCTGGGAGTCACCCTGTACGGAGCCTTCATCCTCTGAGCCAGAAGAGGTGTCTAACACATGGAAATAGACAAGGTAAGTAAGTGACAAGGACCAGACATTCCTCATGGACAAGAGACCATATCCACTATACTTAAATTTTTTTTCTCTCAGCCAAGCTTTTCCCCCTCTGAGATTACTTCCAATTTGCCCCACATACAGTCATTTGTATATTTTCCCCATTAGACTTTGAGCTCCTCAAAGGCAGAGAACATGTTTTGCCTTTTCTTTGACTCCCCAGGGCTTAGCATAGTGCTTGGAACATAGTAAGAGCTTCATAAATGCTTGCTGTCATGACTTGAAAGCACTTTATGATGAAGACCTCTTGGCACTCCTGTAACAAACTCCTCTTAGGAAATCTACCTTTCCTCTATCTACTTCTTCAACATGAAGGAATGGTATTACACAGACACTCCAGTGTACTCTATTCATTATCTCCTTACTCACTTGATCAAAAATTTTTTTTAAAAAACCATTAAATCCTGACTCTAGATCAGGCACTGTGCAAAGTACTGGGGATGCAAATACAAAGAATGTTCTCAAGAATCTATCATTCTCACAGCTCCTAATACCATCCTTTGTACTCCCAGGGTATTCTCAGTAACCAATTCTTGACTAACCAGTGGGTTCTAACTCTGCCAGTCCAGCAAGAAAATATAAACACTTAGGTGGCTTGTGCTAACGGTCTCTATGTAAGCCTAGATCCAGATATAAATTTCATAGAGGATTCCAGAAGACAGACCCAACAACAGGTGCCATGAAGGTCTACCACTTCAACTGTGAATCAGCAATCCCTAGCTTGTGTCTCCTACAGAACTGCAAATAAAAATGACAGACATCTGGCCACATCTGGTAGGAATGTCAAGATGTCAGGATTTCCCTTCAGATTCAGCATCCTATTTATTGTTGAGTGAGTCACCTGGGGAACAAGGGATTGAATAAAAAATTGTGGAAAACTATATACTACTTAGTAGAACATCAATGTACACAGTGCTAATGATTACTGAGGCACTAAAAAAACAGATGTGATCCAGTTATAAGCAATAGTGATTGTTTTCTTTTTATTGTAAGTTATAAAGGAAATAGGTATTAATAATTGTGTTAATTATAATTATAACATCCATGTAGCTTGGGAAGGATTGTGAGTTGCCCATTAAAAAAAAACCACAACATAAATTGTAGCCATCGTAAATTATTTTTATGTTCCAAGCTAACCTAATGCAGAGTTAAAGGAATCCTCCCCAGAGGAAACAAATGGTAATTCAGAGTAAGCTGAGCAGTAACAGTCCTGGGTTGATACTACCCAGAAAAGGAGAGAGTGGTACAGGAGCCATTCATTCCAATAAGAGACTCACATGTTAGGTTTATTCTGTAGTGAGCAAAGTTCTAAAGGTCACCAAGATCCCAGGAAAAAAAAATAATGCAAACAAGTAGAGGCTGGATTATGCCTTAGCAGATGTGGTTATAAAATGCTCAGAGTAGTACTCAACACAAAAGAGAGCACTCAATAAAATTTTTGGATAAGCATGATGTTGTCCATGACATGTATGGTTTTTCAAAGTTATTCCATGCGAAATCACCACTGTGACTCCTGCGTGACTGCCAGATGACAAGAAGAAATGTTTGTTGGTTTGGATTGGATTGGATGGGATGACAATTTGTGAAATCATTCATGCAGAGTGCATAAAAATTCTACGCAAATAATCAAATGCAAATGTTACAGCCAAAATAAGACTCCGGCCAATGAGCATGTGCGTTTCTCACAGATAGCTAAAAATACAAGGATTTTGCCTTTTGTCACGATGATTTATAGGTGTTTGTATTTATGCATGTACATATGCACATATATAATACATTTCTTTATGAAATGTATATATAAGCATGTAAATGAGCATATAAATACAAGGGCAGTCAAAAGTAAATTAACTGCAAATTACTTCTTACATTTTGATATGGTTTATGTTTTCCTGTAAAAAAATGTTTATAGGAAAGGCCCATGTCTCCAAAACTTGCTTAGGCTTTTAACTATTTCCCATTTTTTCTAGTTTAAATCTGTTTTATCTCTGCAAGATATTTTTTACATTACTATTAAGCATATTTTCACATTAGTGATGTTGTAAAGAAGAATTAGAACCAATAAGAGGAACCATGAAAAAGAAGAAACAAAACAAAACAGAAGGAAAAAAAGAGCAAATAGTATGCTTTGATCTGCATTCAGACTCCATAGTTCTTTCTCTGGATGTAGATAGAATTTTCCATCATGAGTCTTTTGGAGCTGTCTTAGAGCTTCCTCCAAGATATTTTTGTCATCTGACACTTGACACAACAACAATGATGACAAGTTTTCTTTGCATTACACATTTTGGAAAAACATGGAAAATAAATTTCATTATAAAATTAAGTATATTAATTAAACTTTACCATATGCTATAAGAACATGTTTAAAAATAGGCGGAATATTTGCTATTTAAACACACAAAAGACAAAGAGAAATAATAGAAATCATGTCCTTAAAAGAAAGGATCATTTAGAGGCTCATATATAACCATGAATACAGATGGAGGTACGTCATAAAATGTCAATATAAGAGCTCTGTTGCCCTATTTTTTTAGGTTGTTATCAGTTCAGACACTTGGAGTTGGATGAGGACAGTTCAAGTTATAAATCTGAACACAATATTGGCTTTTAGTGGGTCCTTTGCCACCTTTTCTTCACACACACAAAGCCTCAGAGCTAAATTGTAAAATACAGATGATGAGAGTTCTGAACTCAATAACTATTGACTTTGGTTTGCATGTGATGTTGCTATTTCGCTCTTCGTGCAGCACCTTATGATTCTTCCATCAAGACAAAAAAAAAAAGAGAGAGGATCCTGAATATTCTTGCACACATGCAAGGCACGTCTGCCTCCACAAGCTAAAGTCAAGGCAATTATTTGTGGGGGTGGGGGGAAAGAAGCACAAAGTGGGAAATATTCCACATACACACACACACACACACACACACACACACACACACACACATACACGTATACATGTGTGTATATATCTATGTATATATGTGTGTGTGGATATAGATGCAGATATATAATTCATTGAACACGTTTGAAAGTGCACCCGAGTCAGTTTGGCAGCTTCAATCAAAACAAAACAGCAGCTGTTAAGGACTCACAATATTCCAGGCACTCCTTTGGGCACTATCAATGCAAAGACAAAAGTGGAGCTGTGGCTGTCTTCAAGGATGCTTATGCTCTAACAGATCAGATGAGATAATATCTGTAAAGCACTTAGCACGGTGCTAGGAACAGAAAAGGCGCTTAAACATTCGCTCCCCGCAATGTAATACAGACTTTCTACTAAGGATGTAAAGATTGGCCATCCTACGAGGAGGTGAGTTTCAAGTGAATTTTTGAGTCAGTTTGTAACACGTACTTTGCTTCTCAACAAGCACTGGGAAACTCGAAATTACAGCGCCACAGTTTGGAAAACAAAAGAAATCCTGGGTGAGGAACCCAAAATCAATTATCTTCTCGCCATGTGCTCAAATAGGTGCACACACATTTCTGAGTAGGAAAGACAATGGATGAGGACATGCACTTACCTGGAGGTGTGTAGGCATCCATTGAGGTCTGCACAACCAGCGAACGGCGTTTGGAAGGCATTGGCACTGCCATTTTCCTTTCTTTGTGTTTAGCCAGGGCCGCTTGGACAGCTTCTGTATGCACATCTGGAATAATAGAAGATATTTGATTATTTTATTATGTAGCCTGGGGATTCTACAGGCTCTGGGCTTTGCCCCTTTTTTTCTTGGACCCTTTGGCTGCTGCATTGCCCACTTACGTCTGCACCAAAAGATGGGTAGGGAAGGAAAAAGGAGAGCAAAGCTTACTTCAGTCACTTTTGCTACTCACTGGAAGTCCCATTAAAAAGCAAACAAATTTTTTTGTTTTTGATTCATCTAGAGATTTAATTTACTCAAGGTATTTTGAACCATTATTATTAATCAAAAGATGACTATGTTGTAAATCACTTAATATTGCCTTTATTTGAATGAATAAATCTTCCTCTTGAATTCTCTCCCCACAGGTCTCATTTTCTAAGCCTATGGACCAATTTGTTTGCCTAATATGACAGACAGCAGAGTGATACATAGAATAGAACTCCAGTTCTGTAGTCAGGAAGACCTGAGTCCAAATCTGACTTTAGACACTTAACAGCTGTGTGAGTTTGTAGAAATCACTTAACCTATGTTTATCTCAGTTTCCTCAACTGTAAAATGGAAAGAATAACAGCACCCGCCTCACAGGAGTGTTGTGAAGATCAAATGAGATGATATTTACAAAGCATTTAACACCCTACCTGGAATATAATAGGTGCTATATAAATACTTATTCTCTCTGCTTCACCCCTGTGAGTTTTCCATTACATTTTCTAGAGACACTGTCTAGTGTATAAATCGACATTTAGTTCTTTCTTAAAGTCCTTAGTCCATGGAATAAAGTATTTTAGCCCCCAATAATTTCCAATTCCATTGAATTCAATAAACATTTATTGACTGCAGAGAACAGTGTTAAAAAGACATGGAACCTGCCCTCGTAAAGCTTAGAGTCTAGCAGTAAAATCTTTACAATACATAGCTACAACACACAACAGAGTACACAATAAATACGAGATAGAGAGAGGAAGAGAGGAAAAAGTGAGAGCGAGAGTGAGAGTAAGTGTGAGAGCGGGGAGGGGGATATCAACAGAGAGAGCACTATATAAAGTCCCAGGTCCAAAATGGGATGGGGTGGAGAGGCAACAAGATAAGATACAACCCTATTTTAAGCTTACAGTACAGTAAGAGGATGAGACATGTACACAAATAATTAAAATACAAGCTCAAAAATTATTAGGTATATAACAGAGGTCACTGGCCTGTGAAACTTGAAGAAGAAAAGATTATATCTGGCTGGGTAGATCCTACCTAGAGGAAGTAGCACCTGGATTGGTTTTTGAAGGATTTCAATGAGCAGGGGAGGGAGTGACGTCCTCTACTTGTTGACATTCTCCCCAGAATGGGCACAAGGAACAGACTACACAAAGTCACAAGAGCAAAATAGTGCGGAGTGGTTGAATGGGATAATAGGCAGTCTGGGCAAACTTTGGCTGTAGCATAAAATGTCCCAAAGGAAGCACCATAAAATGTGGTTTGAAAGGGGAGGTTGGAGCATTGCCAGGAAGGGCATTGAACATCAAAGTGAATAGTCTATATTGCATTCAGAAGACAAAGAGGTACAAAGGTTTTGTAGCAGAAGGGTAATATATGAATGCCTGTGTATTAGGTTAATTTAGGTACTTTATAAAGGGTGAAGTAGAAAGGAACAGAGACAAAAGAAGCAATGAGAGGGGATTAAGGACTTTAACTATGGTGGCAGGAATGGCAAGAGAAATAAAGGAATAGGCATAAGAGCAGTCTGAGGCAAAAAGACAGGCCTTGGCAATTCCTAGCATAAGACTATTCAAGAGGAGATACTCAATAAATTTAATAATAAAAAATATTTACACACAAACTACAGGCGAAGCAGTGTGGTATCTCGTACAATCTTGCTGAGTAAGTGATTTCAACAAATGGTGCCCCATTTGATCATTCTGTCTTTAGAGAGGCTTCATCAGTGAGAAGGGAGATTCGCTTTCTCCTTTACATATTTCCTTTCAAATGAAAGCCAGGTAAAAAGCACTATAAATTTAGAACCTGAAATTATTAGGGTGGCTTTTGTAATTAAATTGTTAATGCAGATTAATGATGAATTAATGACAACTGCTCAGAGAAAATTAATCTGTGAACTGTTATTAAGAAGTGAGAATGCTACTAGGTTCCTGACAAAGAGGGGAGAAAAAAACTTCAAATCTACATTTTTATCATGCTTTGCGAGGGAGAAATTACTTAAAATAATTGGAGGCCTGAAGCATGAAACCAAAGGCTGAAGTCCTTACTGAGTTTCATTTGTATGTGTGTTGCAATTGTAACACTTGAAGCAGTTGATGTAATTGCAGAGGGTACATGCTGACTTTCATTATGTCCGTGCGTTTCAGATATTTTTAGCACTAATTTTTTCGATTTAGGGTTAGACTTGGGAGACAAATTTTAATGAATGCTCATACGTTAATCTGTTCCAGCTTCTTTAGCATTAACTAAGCACAACCCATTCCCACTTTTCCACTACCTCCCCCCTGCCTACATGATTAAAATATGGTGGAATCATATCACAGCCACATAGCTTACTGATCTAATGAAACTGTGAGGCATCGACATGCTATAAAATGAAGACAAGTAATCCAGAAGATAAAGGAAAGGAGGAGAGAAAGTAAAAGGGGAAGGAAAGGAGAAAGAGAAAGAGAGGGAAAGAGAGGGAAAGAGAGGGAAAGAGAGAGACACAGAGAGAGGCAGAGGCAGACAGAGAGAGAAAGGGGAAGAAAAGGAATGGAGAGAGTAAGGGAGAAAGACAGATAACAAATGGGAGAAAAGCAACAGGAAAGGAGAGATAAAAAAGGGAAAGGGAAAGGGAAAGGAAAGATCAAACAATACTGAAAGGTTCACATGCTTTCTTCTAAGAAAATTACCTTCAGTTACTGAAAAGGTTCCTTGCTCAAGGTTCAAAAAAAAAACACTCAAAAAGGCTTAACACTTTGGTACTTGTCCAAACACCCTAGCTCTGTAAAAAGTTACACAAAGTTACCCTTATACATTGTTTTCCTTCATTCGATAAATCATTTTTCATGAAGTTCCTGAGAACTGGGTATATTCAGGCATTTACACTGGAGAGACTGTGGTCAACTAGCCAGTCCATGACTGAGGGGCCAGGAAGTTGTTAAAATTTCCTTGTGAATTTTTTTTTAGTTGGAAATCTTGAGAACATTTTCCCCAGGGTGCCATTGTGGTACCTCTAGTCAGAAGCAAAATGGGTCATAGGAAAGGGCAAAGTCTGTGGGAATGGGAAACCCATAAGTGTAACAGAACAAAAACTTGAGTCTTATTTGTATCAACTTCCATGACAATTAAAATATCTACTCTCTGTTTTATTTAATTTCTCTCTCTTTTTTTTTGTTCCAAGAACACATGCCAACAGATAGAAATATCCATACGAATGCAGAGTACTCCTCACAGATTATAGAGGATTGCCCTACAATTTAGTCTTTATATGTTTGGATATCTCATACAGACAAATTACACCTGGCCCCGTTTGATGCAAGCTGATTTGGAGGAGCTGTCCCTTTCTCCAGTGCATTAGTCTTTAATTGTTGTATGTGATAATGCTACTAATAAGGTTAAACATAAATATCATAATTAGGTTGAATTTCTCTTTCTTTCTCTTTCCTTCCTTCTTTCTCTCTTTCCTTCCTTCTTCCTCTTTTTCTTTCTTTCTTTCTTTCTTTCTTTCTTTCTTTCTTTCTTTCTTTCTTTCTTTCTTTCTTTCTTTCTTTCTTTCTTTCTTTCTTTCTTTTTTCTTTCTTTCTTTCTTTCTTTCTTTCTTTCTTTCTTTCTTTCTCAGAGTTCTGTGTGCTGTATGTACTGCCTCCACCCTGACCCAGTCATGTGTTACTGGCAGCAAAAGCAATATAACACATCCCATACGCATGTGAGCAACCACAAACACTCAGCCACTTATTCTGTTCACTGTTGCCTCTGACTCATGCTACAGAATCCCAAAATCAAATCAGACTTGCTAAAGACTCTGAAAACAAACCTTTAGCTTGTGATCATTTTGGGATTTGGGAGGTGGGGGAAGGGATATTTAGATGACTGTTGTTGAACTAGTGAAATTATTATACTTCTAAATTCTACAATGCAATTGGTAGTTCAATTTCAGACCAAAGGTATGGCAAAAAGTTTTCTCTTAAGTGATGCAAAAGGCAGTAAAATCCTACCCTGGAGATTCTATGTAGAGGCACTGACCTTTGGCTCTCAAAGATGATAGCCACAGAATTCCAGCTTTAGTGGGTTCCTGTATGGAGCTAGAAAATCTTTAAGCAAGTGTCCAGTGATGTCTGTAGCCAAAAGGCCAGACTAGATTTGTTAAGAGATGGTCACCACCAGACCAGTCCTTAAAGGGTCATGAATTTTTTGGCTACACTGATTCTTGAGAACTGTCTACTCAATTGCACAGGTATTGCAATCTACATTAGTGCACAGAGGGCCCACATGGGCCAAATCATTAAGTACAAATAATTCTGATACTAGTGACTCCATTACTCAAGTAATGAGGTAAATTCACATGGTTTAACAGAATGTTAAAATACATTGATAGGCTTATGGTTGGGGGCAATCGCTGAGATAATGTTCCTTAACATTGCTCTTCATGATCTCTGATTTAATCAGTATGAGGAACTTCAGTGGGGGAATCTCACAACATCCATCCTAGAGAGTGACCTCAAAACACAGCAGTTAAGTGACTTTCCCAGTACCAAACTGTTACTGTCAGCATAAGAATTTGAACCCAGGTCTTGCAGAATTCAAGCCAGTATGCAATCCACTATGCCACACTGCCTCTAACATGCACAAACCAAGAAAAGCACGTGTAACAGAACTTCATAGGTAGGGCTGGGGGAAGAGCTAGCAACAATCTTTTCTTTCCCCACTCTATGTGGAACCACGTAGTGGAACATTTGGAGCAGGATTGGAAAACTGTCCAAGACAGATGTTAGCCAGAGCCATGTTCCAATCCAGTACCATTCCATCAAATCCAG